ATATATATATATATATACAATTAAAGTTTGGTGCCAATTTTGCATGCATTAGGCCTGCAACAAGTTTGGTCCACTCTATATTTAGGAGAAAAATAAATAAATTCTTATAGTAACTTTGTTATTGAACAGTGATAACTATCATTCAGAGAAAAGAATTATTGTTTTTTATTACTATATGGAGTTAATTGCCTTTATAAAGAAAAGAAAAAACACTTAAAACTTTTGCAGAGATAAATTGAAAGCAAAAACTTCTTTTTCTAGTTATATTCTATTTTGAACTATCAATGATGTTTTTGACAAGACAAAATATCTTTTTTTGGATTTTAATAAGAATAAATTAATTAAATCTGATCTGCTCATTCAAGACACTGTATGTTTTTGATTCCTGGAGCAGGATCTAAATAAATGGATTATTAAGAGAATGTTTCACAAATAGAATTAATGTTATCTCATTTATTTTTTATTTTTCATTAAATAAGATTAAGAAGCTTTATTTATGTTAATGTTTTGGAAAAATATGTGCTTGTGGAAGAATCAGTGCATGCTAAAATTTTCTAAAGAAAAGGGTGAGAGATGAGAGTAAAGTGTTTTATAGATGTATTGTGTAAGTTCACGTAATACACACGCTTTTGAGTTCGATATTCAGAGTTGAATTTATGTGGTCTAATATGGTGTCACGATTTGAGGTGTTATTAGTATAGTGGTGGGCACGAATCTCGGTGGGATGTTATGTCCCTTAGGGAAGGTGTGCATACATACATGACGCTCATGACGGCGGAGTCATTTTCCTCGGATAAGTTGAGGTGTTTTTGCCAGTTATTCGACCCCGACCATGAATCCATCGCCCTTCCTTTAGCGTGATTGGGCGATTGGTTAGAAGGTAAGAATAGCATGATGAAAGGAATTTCATTTGTGTATGTGCTCCCGATAAAAAAGAAATAAGGTACTCTATTCCATTACATACATGGATCGGGTTGAAAAACCAGACCCAGTCTCTCTGGGGGGCTATTGAACAACTCGAAAAAGCTCGTTCTCGTTTACGGAAAGTAGAAACCGAAGCCGAGCAGTTTCGAGTGAATGGATACTCCGAGATAGAACGAGAAAAATTGAATTTGATTAATTCAACTTATAAAACTTTGGAATGGAGGGTGAAAAAGACCGACTATTTAAGAAAAATCGAGATGATATTTGCGTCGTCGGAAAATCCAAGGAAAGGGCATTTTTAGGATTTATCATGCATTAATATGCTTGTTATATACATACATGCATATATCATATATATATATATATGTATATGTATGGTTTGTTTATCTACATAAAAAAATTTTAAAAATTGATTATTATTATTATTATTTTTTGTATAAATTAGGTATAATAAACATAAACTTATGGAGTAGTATGGCAATATTTTGATGCATATTAGTGGGTCCAATAAATATGATATATTATGGAGGTAGATACGGCTACAATAAAGCCACTGTCGTTGAAGAGCCCAATTAACTGACAAAAACTTTACACAACATTCAATTTGACAATGGTTCTCTTATTATAATAACCATATAATATTGATATAATAATAATTATTTTATATTATTTAAAATGGTACATATATATTACTGTAATTACTAACAAAGCAGAAAACTTAAAAAGAAACGCGACGTGGATCGTAATGAAATGATAAGTACTTTTATTGGAGAGTTTTTTACTCCAAATATGAAATTTAGATGCATAAATTTAAATTTAGTCAGATCGTACAAATGAATAACCAAAAGAAAAAAGAAACCCTAAGAAAGAGCAAGACAAAGTCTGTTTGAAATAGTTTGCTAAATTTGACATAATTTTGATGAAAAAGGAAAGTAAGTGAATATCATGCAAGAGGGTTTTTTAGTGCTTTTCAATTATCAGTATTGTATATAAAACCTAGAACCAAGTCTAAAAAAACATACAGATTTTGACTAAGAGCTTGTTTGGCTCTGCTTGAAAGCTGGTCAAATTGACTTAAAAGTTGGTTTTTGACTTATTTAATTGTTTGACAATATTCAAAATAACTTATTTTATGTAAAAAAAAACTTATTTTAAGCAAAAAGTTAAAATATGGGGTAGGGGTGGGTTTTTTTTAGCTTATAAGTTGTTTTAAGTTGACCACATTTTTATCGTTTTGCTCTTTATATTTTTATACTATCTCTAAATTACCCACATAACCCTAACATCTCTTTCTTCCATTTTTCCCTTTTCACGTTTGGCATAGCAACTTCAGCACTTTTATCCATACGCATAACTGCTTATTTTAAAAATAAGTTTTAGCACTTTCAAAAGTACTTTTTAAAGCTACTTTTATCAAGCTCATCCA